CGGTTGTCTACTTTCCGGCGCTGCATGGCTGCGGGGCGCTGGGACCTTGTGTCTCCCCCTTCCCCAGACCCGACTGCCGCCCTGAGGAGAGCCGCTACAGGGAGACCCCCCCCGCCTCCCTCAGGCGGCAGCGACGGGGCCGGCGCTCGCGGCCACACCGCACCACGTGGGAGCGGCGCGGGACGGGGCGCGCGCGCCGCGCACCACAGCAGGACCCCGAGGCTGCCCCTGCCGTTCGCCTGCGCGCCGTAAATGCATTTATTTTATTTTTTTAAAGCAGAATTTAAGGTACTTTTCCACTTGGGAAGGTCGCGGTGGAGTTGAGGAAACACGCTTTGGTCAGAACCTCGACGGCCTCGGCCTCCAGAGACACGGAGAGGAGGTAGCTGTGCCCTGAGGAGAAGGTGGAGGGGAGCCATGGCCCAGCCCTGAGGAGAACCCGGCACCAGCAGCACCAAGGACCAAAGAAACGGGAAGTTAATCGCTTAAATAACGAGGAGTAGTATATACCTATGGATCCTGAATTATGATTTCATACCTGGAGATAACCCCAACTCTCAAAAGCCCTGAGATCAAACCCAGGCCCTCCAGGAATTTCCACATCTCGCCTGGGTTTAGTTCAGTGACTTTGGGGTAACTGGCTGTAAAAAGGGGATAAACCAAACCGCAATGACAACACCGATTTTATTTTTTTAAAAAGCCTTTGTTCTGAATATATCTTGCTTGCAGAACGTAGGCCTGCTGCAGTCAACGCCATGCCTCTTAATGATTTTATAAAGATGCTCCATTTCCACCTACTGCTCTTTTACACTCCATGTCACTGGGTGTCCTTGGGTACTGTTGAGAGAGGGGGAAAAAAACGGGCATTTGGATACACAGTATTGAGCACAAGTACAGAAAACTAACAAATCATTAGAATACATTATTATTGGATACTAAATTAACGCAATGCCATGAAACCTTAGGAGCCTTGCTTCTCAATAAAACTAGTTAGCTTGTAACATGTCAGCTCCACTATTTAATAAAACCACAGCTATTGTCTTCTATACAAAATACTACTAAATCTATACTACTAAATCTTCTATACAAAATCCCAAGATGCACAATTGTGGAGCCACAACAGGAAAACAATTTATCAATCTGACTTGGTTTAAATTCTAGTGATTCAGAAGCACAAAATTTATTCTCAAACCGACAGCAAAACTATTCCTAATAACCTAACATCTTGTAACACTAACTTTTCAATACCAAAGTTGAGCCAAGCTATTTGCATAGATATATTTATTCTTAGCTTTTAATACTGCCAAAAAAAGAAAAATAAAATTTTGAACTTGAACATTTGAACAACGAAGTATTTAAGCCAGGTAACATCATAGGAAAAACGTGTTTAATAGCACTGGATGTATTTTGGAATAAAATATGTAAGTTTGAAAATAAAGCAAAAATATGATAAAATTGTTGAATTAATAATCATAAAGGCTGTAGAACAGTATTTTTTGAGGAGGTGAACCCAGGTAAACCCAATTATTAAGACCAAACCACCAATGCAACAGAAGTGTACCTTAAGGTATAGGTATGAAATACTTGCTTAAAAGGGAAGGACATAAAACATTTTAAATAGATTTATTTTTCAAGTGTTTACATAAGCCATGGACCAATTAGTTTTAAATGTTGAGTCAAAGAACTGCAAAGACATATATACAGGTATGTTTAAGGCCATCAGAAAATTTAAATCTGACAATTAACTAAAATGAAATTCTGAAGACTTATTTTATATGCTAGATGCATTACTAAAATTTATTCTAAAATTTAATAGCTTCAAAACAGGAAATACATTTTCATTTATTAAAAGTCTAATGCGCAATTACTAAAATTTATCTTGATACCAGAATTTCAGGTGTACTCTAGGATCCACTATTGGGTATCTGAGCACATTTTATAGAAAGGAGAAATTGGCCACCGTAGTTGGAACTGAGCTAATTATACCCATCTGACTGATGAACATTAAAAAGTGGGGAGGGAACAAAACCTAGCTTTTAAAATTAATGGGTTAGTAACTGCAGCAAGAGCTAACAACAATAAATTTAATTCAGAACAATATGCCAAGTTAGGCCAAAGTTTCCTAACACCGTTCTCTTAAGCACCGCTCAAACTGGCTTTAGGATGTGGATTTTGGAAAAGAGATTCCCTTCCCTCCATTAAGGCTAGATCTACAGAGCCACAAATCATTTCCAATTGCATTATATTCAAAAAGCCTAAGAAAGTGGTTAATAGAATAGCACCTCTTCCCTTAGACAAAGAGTTTAGAAAATTAAGTTTCTCATCAGAGGCTCTGCCATCCCACACCAAAAATTCACTATCAGCCAGCGTCTGAAACCTTGTAGGAACAGACAGAAATCCAAGATGCTGCTTTTAAGTTTTCATAGAAGCATGAAGGTCAAGGCCTTGCTTTCACATAAAGAAAGAGACATTACATTTCTTTAACAGTCTGCTACAGCGTAGATGTTTTCTTTCCCTTTGACGTTAAGACGATCTGAATGCAACCTCAAATCCTAAACAGCCGAGGTGCAGCGGTTCTCAAAACCATGGAAACTTTCCTCATGGAAAATGTACTGACCAGGATGACAAACATCTGAATGCAAAAGCAAGCGGTTTCTGCAAACTGGGAAGTTTGAAGGACTTTCCCCCTCTCTCCCCCTCCAGAAAAACAAATTGGCCAAAGAGAAACACATTAAAGCAATCAGCCGCCTTCTTGACTATCAGGCACGCTAATCTGATGTTAAATAAGGGTTATTTTCCCCCAAAGTTCACGTCAAAGCTCCTTCTGTTAAGTTCTGCTACTGAATATAAGACAGCCAAGATCTGTATGAGACCAAACGCTCAGATGCCAATGTTGAGATGGAACACTCAAAATTTTAACAAATTTTATCATTTAGAGAAAAACACAACTAGAAGAAACCTACACAATTTTGCAATGTTTGAGTTTCCAGTAAAGTTCCCAACGATAATCATAACTATATTTAAGCCCAAATGTAAATAAGGAAGTCCAAAAGGAAAATTTTATTGTTCAGGATCCTTTCCTGCACTGAGGCACTGATTTTTAGGTCAGTGAAGAACCCCTACCCACCCCACTGTAGAACTTTGTTGGTGCCAGCTCAAGCACTTAAAAAAACCTTTCCAGTCCCATCCACATTCAGTGCAGCTGGAAGAAATTCTGTAAAAATGGGTGCAGAGATTTGAAAGGCTAAAATATAGTTTACTTCATATGGTCGCAAACTTCAAAGTCCAGCTATGAATTTGTATCTTCAATTGCCTGTTTTGATATTTTGCATTCATTTTATTCAAGAACAGTTTCCCATGTGCAAGGAGGACAATCTTTGTCAAGATGCAACTAGCAGTCTCATTAATGGGGCTGGTTAACGAGCTGTGTTCTCACATCCCTTTGATATCCACAAGAGACTCAGGATGGGAGAAAATTTAAGAATACAGCACAATTTTGTCCACTAAGCCCCAAGACTTGTCTCTCAGATGGGCATTTATAATGAATGGTTCCTTGCAAAGAAGAGGTAAGAAAGGTCAACTACTCAGCTTGGGCAATGCCAGAGCTTCAAAAAAAGAACAGGAAGAGCAAGATTTTTATGACCAATTGCTTTTGTATCTTATTGTTTTGGACTACAAAGGTTTTGCCCTATTTGCTTTTAATCAGATTAAGTTTAACCACTTTTGCAACATCTTTTATCATCTTCCCAATATTTGTCCAGAGTTAAAGCCCTTTCAATAATTCTTCTCTCAAATGGCATTTGAGAGAAGGAAGTCCCAATATTTGTCCAGAGTTAAAGCCCTTTTTAATAATTCTTCTCTCAAATGGCATTTGATCCATTCTCGATCCATTCTCCCAAGACACTTACGAAGGCAGCCTGGAACCCAGTCTAAGAATCCGCCTCTCTAACAACTCAGGTCAGCAGGATATTTTGAGAAGACACATTTTTAAGGTCACGAAGTTCTCTGAGAGTTTCAAAATCCCAGCAGAATTCATTAACTGGCTATTAATGAGAAGTCAGTGTTATCTTCCAGCTACTCTGGACGTTATGCTTTAGAGACTGCTATACACAAAGACAGTATCTTGGAGATAAAATAGGCATTAAGCGAAGTCTAGAACTCCCTCCACAGCAAAACCTGGAAGCCACATTGGTGAACTGCTCCTAAAAAGACAGCCCATCTCCAGGAAGAACAGAGAAGTAAAACATACGACAAATTGACCTTAAGTGTGAGACAATAGCTCATGATTTCCAAGTTAAATATTTAACTTGTAGGACTTCTAGGAACGATCCAAGTTTCCCAGACACAGTAACGTTAGGTAGAAACATCCAGAAAGTCAAGTGACTGAATAATTTACTCAAGAATCCTTGTATTACAGCCAAGAGGAAGACAGACACTGAAGCTAGAGGTTTGCTCTCGAGCACATACCACTGTGCGCTATCAGAGCCTACCAATATTAGATAATTAACCCCCTGCCAAAATAAAAATCTCTATCTCCTCATAGCAGCTGTCTATGCAAGGCAGTCATAACTAGTCTGTTATGCTCCCAGAAGACCATTTCACAGAAAAATCAAGTAAAAGCACCAAAGAGTACAACTGATGTGTCTACATAGAGGCTCAGAAGTAGCACTTTGTTCTGCTCACTCACGCTGTGCAACCACAGGTGCCAGGCTGGAGTTACCCCACCGCAGCACCCAACTAGAATCCAGGCACCCTAAAAGGGCTCTGCAACAGAACCGGCCCAGAACTGCCACCCTTCAGCCTCAATACCATCACTTCTCACCAAGGTCTTTGTTCAAAAGATGACCTCTTTCAAGAGAACCTTATCTAGGAGTGCTTGCGATCTGGATGTAACTCAGATCTAGAGCTACGTTACGGAGTGAAGATACTTAAAAGCTGCCCTGAAGAGGCCAGAAAACCAGTGAGTGGGTCTGTGTGTCGTACTGTGACTCAAGCCAACGTTTCAGTATTACTGTTTATTAGACGCATGTATTGAGATTAAAGGAGTCAGTGCAAATTCCCAGATTAAACACATCTTAAGTACTTGTTTTATGGTTATTATTATAACACATCTCCCTCTATCAGCATACAGTAGAGCAGCTACTCTAAAGACCATTTTCATACAGGAAAAGGCTTACAAAGTTGTATCTCAATTAAGAGGCCTCTCAACTACCCAATGTTTTATTAATAAATTTAAGTTAAAAAAAAACAAACCAACAACCAACCCCCAAAACCTTAAATGGAATGTTGTGATCCATTCAGCGGTCTTTAATTTAGTATGCTGCAAGTTTATTGTCAAACTACAATTAGCTATTAAAGAAGCATTTGGTGTGCAATGGAAAAAGCTGAACAGCTTGTGTTCTACCAACCATTTAAAAAGCTGATGCACAAAAAAATAAAATAATAAAAAAAAGAATTCACTGTTTTCCTACATCAGTTCAACATTAAAAGGTTTGTCTTTTTATTTTTTTTCCAGTTAAAAAACAGTCGGGACTATTATCTTGGTAATAGCTTCCTAAAAAAAGACACAGAACAGCAACTTCTCACCAGACTGCAGTTTCTATCCTTATACCGGTACGGAATGTTTCTAGGCCTTGACTAAAACTGCTGCTTCTGGCCATCAGTATCGTTTCAAGATGTCTGGTGTGTAGTATCTTCTTCACAAGCTTATCACTTCTCTCAGTGAAAACATTTCTCGTTTGTGCTCTTCACACAGAAGATGGAAAAGTGATATTACCACCTGTTTGTATGGAGTTTCCAATCATTTCACAACGAAGTCAAAATACCTGACTACAAGTTCTGAAAGTTCAGTTGCAATACAAAGTAGAAACGACCCTCTGAGCGAAAACAACCTTCAGTTTCGTATATAACAGTTAAACAATACGTAGCTGTTCCTAATGTCACCTTTCCACAGGTGGGAATTATTTGATGAGCGATACTTAACACATATAGCACTTTTTTTTCTTCTTGCAGGTGCTATAGAATGCAACAGAACTACCAACACCTCTATGGAGGCAGCTATCAATATATTCTCCCCACTGCAGAGAGAGTGCATGTGCGCAAAAGGTAGGCACAAGTGATTTTCCAAAGATTATACCACAAGTATGCAGTAAAACTTGAATAAGACTCGGTATTTTCCAGCTCCTAGTCTTATGCCATTTCTTTTATACATTGCTGCCTTGATGAAAAGGAAAAGTCCATTAAAAGGAAACAAGTTTCCCAGAAGAAGTCACAGCTATTAGAATAAAATCAGGAAAAACAGGAGGGTTTACATCTATTCAGGAAAAAGAGAATCTATCAGGGAGGGGGGAAAAAAAACGAAACAAAAAAACAACCTTATGAAATGTCACCCCGTTACATTAAATTTGTTTCAGTCGTTGAAAACCAGTGTTCCAGGATACAATTTTTATAAACATGTTTTATTTGTCTTACTTATACCATTAGAACTGTAACTGCTGGCTGTCATTTCCCTTAAAAGGGGAAATCAATTCAAACACATACTGGTGCTTTTCAAAAGATAGCAATTAAAAGGGCAGCAGCAGCGGGCATTTGAGATTTCTTAAAACCTTCAAGGCTGCAGGAAAGACAGAAGGACATGTGACCAAAAGTGTTATGATTATCCATTAGAGATTTTCATCAGTACCGGCATCAGTTATTTAGGTGATAATACAGCAAGGTCAAGTATTAGTGACAGACAATGTGCAAGTCATAAGGAATGATAAGAGAAATACCAATCCTTACAAAAGTCATTGCTATCAAAGAAACTTAAAAGTGTTTCAAAGAGATATCTAAATACTTCACATCAAATATACAGTGGCCATCCGGATTATCTCTCACATTTGTTGCAAAATTTTGTTGAAGTGCCAAATCAAAGCTGGTTTTTTTTCTTTCCTTTCTTCTTTAAAAAAAAAAATAATAAAAATTACACAGTTACATTAGCAGTTATGCAAGCGATCTTAAATCCTTAGCCACAGGAAACAGGGCCCTGGTGATGAGGAGTGCTGTAGCTAAGGGTGCTTCTTCTTTGTTAAAAAAATGGCTAGAAGCCTATTTGTCTATTTAGGGAAATATGCATCACTACGCATCTTGAACTGTTGAGTGCTTCAATTTAATAAGAAAAAGCTGAAATGCAGTTGCTCTACCAAGCCACACTTCACCTTTTCCATCCTTTCATGGGAACATTTAAGTTTTGCCAACTGCCACCACAGTAAATCTTTACGAATTTGCAGATTTTATCCAAATTTGTTACATCACTTTTAAATGCCAGAAGTGAGTCTTTTTTTTTTTTTCCTGCCACTTCAGTTAACCATGGAGATTGGATCACCCTGAAAATTGCTTTTTGCTTTACTCTTAGCAAGGGTGAGGAATCTGAATCTCATGTGCAAGGCTCAAGATGATGCTTAGGACAGAACATGCAGAGTAAACGTTGTTTCGTTCCTTTCCATATCCAGGTAATATAAAGCTGGCAACTGTAGTCCTGTCATTATGGGTAATGAAAATAGTCCCTTTACAACAAACTTCCTGTAAGGGAGAACAAATAGATAATAACTCTTCTGGTAACATGTATAGTACACTGGCCAGTGTGTTTTTGGCGTTTAATGAAATCCTGTGAATTTCTTTAATTCACTTGCTGAGCATTCATTTGAGGCATCCCTCTGTTTGGTCTTGGGGGCCCACCACGACCTAGAAAATATAAAAAGGCACTTGAATTAGGCACGAAGTCAGGGTATTTAAAAAAAATAATCCTAAAAGCACTGATCTAAACTTGTAAGAATTTCCAATTTTTATTTTGGCTCCATATGGTTCTAAAAGCTCCTTTGAATCAAAACTCAACACCATGTAGCCTGTCTTTACAGTTTTCAGCTTTATCCCAAGACTTTTTTTCCCCAGAACTACAAAGTTACACTCCAAATAAAAACAGGGGGTAAAAAAAGAAAAAAAAAAAAAAAATCACATCATGAAGATACAAACATAAGATTAAGATCAAAAGTTTTGCAGCAATATAAGGAGTAATTGGTTTAGTGTATTTTAAATATAAGCACCATGAACTAACTAATCATGTTTTAATGAAGGAGTAAAAGAATGGGAGTTAAGAGACTGCCTGTAGCTCACACTCTCTGTATATAAGAATTGGAGGTCACTTGGGGAATCCCTCTCACATTTGCCTGCAGATGCCTGACAATGAAACTCAAGACATTTCTTTGCTATAGTTGTGCTTCCTAAAATAGGCTCCCAGTTTCCCCACAGCCTAATTTTATGCTGAATTTCAGGCCACAGTTCCACACTATAGTGCTGTCAGTACCCAGTCAAGGACAGAACTCTTCAAAACCAAACTACCACACAGAACTGTGGTTTCAGGGGCAGTGCAATTTACAGCTTTGAGCTGCCCTCACTGACAAGGCTTTGGTGAGAACTCAAGATTCTCATGGAAATGCCTGTATTGACACAGAAGAGTCTCATCACCAAAAATCTACTAAAAAAAAAAAAACCCAAATGTGGAAATAGTGTTGAAAATAAAAATTTTAAGTTCAACTACAGTCTCATTGTCTGTTTTCTCACATTAACACCTGGCAAACACTCTTACGAAGCTACAAGACTAAAAGCAACAGTTCTGTAAGATCATGGAACAGATGAACATGGAGGTGAGTTTTGTATTCTCAGATCAAAAGACCTCCACAACAGATGCAGTAGCACATCTTTTAGTGCTACAGAGTAGCACACAATTTTGAAGGCTGACAGCCATCTCAGGCCCTACGTCTGCTTTATAAACATCTTACCTGCAAACTACCAACACACCTGCTAAGCAGATCTTAAGTCATGATAAACTCCACCAAAAAAAAAAATAATCTCCCTTTCCTAAGGCTTTCATTAATACAAGGGAACTAAAAAGTTCTGTAACATTTAAAGTATCAAAAGCAATTGTTTCAACTTCTTTTCAAAGAATTCCTCATTCAATGGCCAACTAAACTTCCACCACAAGTTCAAAGGATCACAGTATAATTCAAGTCTGCAGGGACCCCAAGAGGTCCTCGAAGTTCAACCTCTACTCAAAAGCAGGGTCAACTATGAGGTCAGAGGAAAGTAAGTTTACTCTTCAATTGTGACCTGCTGAATAAGGAGTAAGGTGGCTCTTTAAATCCAAAACTCTAGAAGGTGGATCAAAAAAAAAAAAAAAAAAAAGTCGATTCAGCCCAAATCAATTATTCACTACTCAGGAATTACCTCTAGGAGCTCCCCGAGGTCCACTTTGTCCAGAGCCACGTTTGAAATTCTGTTGATATCCATCCTGAAGCAAAGAAATTAAGAGAGTTATGACATAAAACCTGGGCATTTTGTTATATTTCAGGAAGGCATTAATTACCAGTAAAATAAGGTGTATATATGCCAGTATGTATTATCAATGTATACTGCTAAAACTCACGTGACTTCAACATACACCATTTTGTTAAATTAATCTTAGAAAAATCTTACAAAACCTTACTCCTATTGGTACCCAGTAGGTATAATAAAACATACAATGATAAATTGTCTCTCCAGTTACTGGACATGTTGCTCAATATAAGTAAGAAATGTAAATAGATGCATTTAGCATACAAATCTTTTAAACTACACAGAGGTGCAACAGATTAATTTGCTAAAGAGCCAGTCAATAAATGAAGCCACATTTTAACAGCAGGATCAAAATCTGTGATCTCATTTTTTTATACTTGTTTAGGGATATGCACAGCGAGACATTTTCCAGTCAGTCTAAACTTTGAGCAAATTGAGCATAATTCCCTCAGAAAAACAAAAGTCTGCACAAACCTCAGAGTAACACATCAGCATTGCAGAAGAACAAGCAGTCCCAAACAAGTTTGAAAATTTAATTTCAATGGACTGACATTCTCCTTTCTTTCTCAAAGCTGTGAAAATAACTATGTTTAAGGAAGAGTTCTTTATGACTCGCCCAACTTTGCTCTAGTTACTAGACTAATTTCTTTATAGATCAATCAGCCAAAAAGAACAATTTATTATACTCAGTCATTTAATAGCCCAACTTTGCTCTAGTTACTAGACTAATTCCTTTATAGATCAATCAGCCAAAAAGAACACATTTCCCAATTATACTCAGCCATTTAATGTTCTGCTATTTCCAAGTATCTGGTTACTACCTGAACCTTCTGTCTTCATTAACAATAAAAAAAGTTATCAGAAAAGTTTGCCCTAATAGATTTATTCAAGTGCTTTTGTTGACAGGTACTTTTTTTTCTTCTATTTCTAGACTGTCACAACAGAGGGGTGACTTACCCGCTGGTAGTTTGAATAATCCCGAGGAGCATTAAATTGGGGCTGCGTGTAACCACTGTTTGGAGTGTTGGAAAAGGAAGGACGGTAGCCATCGTATCCTCCTAAGGAAGAAGGTACATGTCTTTCACTTGGAAATGATAACCTATTACTTTATGATACCATGTAAGTCAAGCAAATGTTTGCAACATCAATGCTAATATTACTACAAGAAACAAGAATGAAGACCTAAAAAGAACTGAAGAGGGCACAGCAATTCACTGCATTTCTCTAGTAATTTGAAGCTTGATTTACAGAACATCCAACCCAGAGCTAAACATAACACTAGGATCTGAATGGAAAGCTAAGACCTGCAAGGCCACAAGAGCCAACTCAAGCAAGAAGCTGACCCTCCTGAGCGCTGGGAACCATGTCAAAGGCCAGCTCCTGTCCCAAGGGTCTAACACCTGGAATCCAGATCAGTTTTAAGCAGACAAGCAGTGACCGCGGTGTTCCCTGCTGCCATCGACCTAAAAAGAACTGAAGAGGGCACAGCAATTCACTGCATTTCTCTAGTAACTTGAAGCTTGATTTACCTAACATCCAACCCAGAGCTAAACATAATACTAGGATCTGAATGGAAAGCTAAGACCTGCAAGGCCACAAGAGCCAACTCAAGCAAGAAGCTGACCCTCCTGAGCGCTGGGAACCATGTCAAAGGCCAGCTCCTGTCCCAAGGGTCTAACACCTGGAATCCAGATCAGTTTTAAGCAGACAAGTAGTGACCGCAGCGTTCCCTGCTGCAATGAGTTGTATTTTAGTTATACAGGTTTCTCCTCCACTCTCCACCCACACAAAAAGAAGAGAGGATGGCAAAAGCACACAGTACATTATCCGTTAGTTTAATGCAGAACACCTGGCAAGGAAACAGTCTCTCCCCTATTCTAACATATAAGTCTTCGTAACATTGATAGCTACGTACATGATCCATCCTATTCCCAATGTGATTAAACACAGAATGCCTTAAAAAACACTGCTTCTACCATGACTGGAAATAAAAAAAACATTTTTGAAATACCAATTGGCATCCAAATCCCTCACTTGATGGCTGTGAAATTCTATTGGGTATTTCTGCTTTTGCTTACACTTGCAATACAGGAAGCCTAACAAAACATCTAAAACTGAAGTTGCTTAAGTTAGCTAAACTAACGGAACTTTTACTACAAATTTTTACATCTTACAGAGTTTTATACCGCTGCAGTATAAAACCAACAGCAGGTCAGCTTAACACTTGGTATCTTAAGATGGTGTTTCCAGAAAGAAGTCAGTAAAAGTCTAATGAGAGCGTTTAATAAAGCTTTTTACCTCTAAATCCATTTGCCGGTCCCCTGTAACCATTCATTAAGCCACGAGCCCCACGTGATCCCCCACGAGACACTCCTCGACTGTTGTAATAAGGCTGACTGTTCCGTGGAAATCCAGTATTCTGCTGAGGAGGTTGCTGGTGATTACCCGCAACTTGATGGGTCTGGTCCGGGGAACCATGGTAAGTACCAACCACTGTATTGAGAGCAGGGAGAAAAAATGAATTATAAAAGTCAGCTCTTCTTTATTTATGTTCTCATATATACCCTCTACAAACTCAACATTCAAAGCTTTGAATTCCCATTGGATGCATCAATAAATGTTCACCCATTCAAAGAAAAATAATCTGCAGATTTAAGTAGAAAAGTACAGTAGTCAGGTATCTCACAATACTAGAACAACCCAGAAATGGTGCAAGCTCAGCAACAGGTATTGCTGATACAGGTACAATTCTCCTGTGCTACTTCAAATCCTTTAAAAATCTGCAACACACGCTCTGGAAGAAGCAGAATGAGTAAGTTAACCCACTTCCGTAACTTCCTCCTCTCTGAACTGGCAGAGAACCACCAAGAAATCTTTGCTTTCACCAGATCTTCTCCATTAAGTGTTGCTGTGCTAGCATGAGATCGATGGGAACACTTTAACAGAGCTGCTGCTTTGACTGTATGGGCTGGAGGATCCTTTTATACAGGACGTGTAAATCAAAGGCAAGAGCAGAGCACACAGCTTGAGACTACCTGCATCTTTGCAGAAAGGTACACCACAACAGCTTCAATTCACAGGGATTGGCAGGAATGAAGTGGATTACAAATATAATTTGAAGGCCATAGGCTCATTAAGATTAATAAAAGATGGAATTGTGTATGTAAGAGCAAAACAGCTTTAAAATTTAGTCTGAGAACAAAGGCTGAAGCAAGGTATCACTAAGAAATTTTCTGTGGGAAAGCCCCTCAGGAAGATTTCTCCATCTTCCATCAGGGAGCGTAACTTCATGTCTACTATGGAATACATCCTCCCTTCTCCTCAATTCTCTATTGAGAATTAAAAAGGGGGATGAAAACCTGCAGTGGGAAAGCCCCTCAGGAAGATTTCTCCATCATCCATCAGGGAGCATAACTTCACGTCTACTACACTCAGCCACAGAGCACTACGGAATACATCCTCCCTTCTCCTCAACTTCTCATTGATTCTTTTGAAAAAAAGGACCAGTAGCCTCGCAGAGAAAAGAGAGGAGTGAGAATATGCAAGAGAAACAGCCCTGCAGACACCACGGTCAGTGCAGGAGGAGAAGGAGGTGCTGCAGGCACTGGAGCTGAGATTCCCCTGCAGGGTGGAATTCCCCTGGAGCAGGAATTCCCCTGCTGTCCCCCTGCTGCCCAAGGACCAGTGGCCTTGTGGAGAGAGAAGCCCACGCTGGAGCACGTTTACTTCCAGGACTTGTGACCCCATGGGAGATCCACGCTGGAGCAGTCCGTTCCTGAAGGACTGCATCCCATGGGAAGGGCCCACACTTCAGCAGTTATGAAGAACTACAGCCTGTGGAAGGACTCACACTGCAGAAGTTCGTGGAGGACTGTCTCCCATGGAAGGGACTCCACGCTGGAGCAGTCCGTTCCTGAAGGACTGCATCCCATGGAAAGGGCCCACACTTCAGCAGTTCATGAAGAACTGTAGCCTGCAGAAGTTCGTGGAGGACTGTCTCCCATGGAAGGGACTCCACGCTGGAGCAGAAGAAGAATGTGAGGAGGAAGGAGCAGCAGAAACGTGTAATGAACTGATCGCAACCCCCATTCCCCATCTCCCTGCTGCTGCTGCATTTGAGAACACGTGACATGCTTCACTATATATCTAGGACTTCACAGTCCAATCATCTGCTCTACTGAAGCTATTGCCATTTTAGTTTCTGCTAAAATAAGTTTACCTGTCTGGAGTTGTTCTTGCTGAAGATCTGATTGTTCTACTTGGTGAGGTTGATTGGAGAAACTCTGGTTGTAACTGGCCTGGTACTGGTTTTGCTGCTTAAGGGTTTCTGGCTCATTAACAGGAGGAACGGGTGCATTCATGTTGAATACCTATAATGTCAGAAAAGTAGTTCTCTGGTCCAATTTATTTTTTACAATTCCTCATTGCATTACGTAAAGAAGTATGCAAGTCTGAGAAATGTGAATAACCAAAGACTTTTTTTACATAATCATAACTGATTCCACCATTTGCGTAACAACATAAGGAATGACTTCCAAAATAAAAGGCTTTGATATTAATTTACTACTTACTGTTTGCATGGATTGGAATGGAGCTGCATTAACATTGATTCCACTGCTATGCAAAGGTTTGCTAGATCCAGCCTGGAACACCTGCGGCTGGGATGCGGTGGGAAGCGATGAAGATGATGGGGTCTGGTCAGTGACAGAATTCAGTGACATTGAAGCCTAATAATTAAAAAAAAAAAACACCAAAGTTTTAGCAGCTTTTGAATACTATCAAAAATTTAACTTAAAAACTTCACTTTTTTTAAAAAAAAAAGTGACAATGCCTCAGGTTCACCTCAACAAATGAGTATTTTCTACTGCAGCTGAACGGCCACATTCACCATGGCATAATGGGAGATGAAAAACCTAGCAGTCTTCTCCCTCATTAACTTGAAACACAAAGGGGGAAAAAAACCTACATTTCCTAACCCAACACCACTGATGCTGATCTGCTGATGTTGGCATGTTACTTTTAACTAAATGGACAAACTATTAAGCTAAAATTCTTGCTACGACGGACTTACTGGTCACAAACAGGCTCAAAATCTTGAAATTAAACAGAACTGAAGTGGCCCTATCAACAGGTAACTAAAAATGACAAAATTCTGTTTACAAAGAAACACAGAACTAACACTTGATCACACCTACAAGCAGAGTCCTTCCCACCCCTGTGAAATCTGACTTGCCTGAATCTGGTCAATTGATTCTTTCTGTGGCCGTTGCTCTGTTGTGTGAGAAGGCTGATACATGGGTTGGGAGGCTGAATATCCCTCACTTGTAGAAGAAACCAAGGGAACCTGACAAAATAAACCCCAAAGCCCCCAAAAGTCAGCTGATGCTCACACACAGATTTAGAAAAAGTATCACAAAACTCTGGAATGAATGGAACTCTCTAGTAAAAGTATGGATTTCCAGAAAATTTTGACAACCCTTAAAAATTAAGGAATTTTTAAACAAGTTCTGTGGATATTTCCCAATCACCTGGACACATATTTGCTTTTACTGGAAAACATCCTCCTCCTCATTTCCTTATAAAACCTCAACTACCATTACAACAAAACTGGGGAAAGACAGAGAGAAAAAGAAATATAGAGAAGTTTAAATGAGCAAACTCCAAGCTCATACAGAAATTAAGAAGCACTGGTTTTCAATGGACTGAATTTGCTCATTTTACAGCCCCTACTTCCCTACAGAGTCCATGGAAAACTCTGGCCAACAAAGCAGAGGGCTTTGCATTTGAAGCTAGTGGGGACGTTAAGAGGCAACTGGTAACAACTGATGGGTGTGTTCACATCACACCGTTGAACATTAAAAAGGAAAGAGGTAAGTTTAGCTACTGCTTGCAAGATCCCCAAGGGAATCATTGGCAGCGGTAAGGAAAGTATGAAAAAAAAATCCACTGAAGTCATAGACATCATTAACAGTAAAGTAAAAGCTAGTGCTCAGCCAACTCTGACAAAAAAATTATTCTACACCTACAAAACAACAAAACTGCTGAGAGTACCAGCACTTCAGCAGGTACATAAAAAGGAAACTCAAGAAAAAGAACCACATTCATGTTTATACAAACAAGTGACTTAAAATTTGCGGATCTAATCTGGACAAGATAAAGCAAGCAATTTATACTACCATCACTCAGATCAAACACCTAGAGGGATCAGACTCATTACTTGAGATCAGTAGAGTCCTTCAGAGATTACACAATTAATAAAATGCTTAATTAAAAAAATCAGGAAGTTCTTTAATCACTAGACAATTCAGTAAGAAATTGCTGAATTGGCACAAAAAACCTGGCACATCCTAATGAAAAGGTGAATACACCATTTACACACTGCAGAAGAACATTGAAGAGATCCTACTTAAACAGGAATTTCAGGAAAGTTCAACTGAAAACAGCATTCCAAACAAAGTCCTTCCTCTGAATCATGAAAAACCCCACTTAAAATTCACCACCATCACACAGAAACTAAGAACTGCCCAGAAGTCCACACTGGGCCATTACAATGAGCAGTGCAAAGTCCAACTGCTTCCGGGCTCGTGCCCTTCAGTTTAAGAGGCCTCTAATTAGTAATGCAATTTCCTCAATAAGTCGTACTTCAACCTTGAACCCAACAGTTACCAAACAGGGTAATATCTGATAAGACTCCATTACAGAAAATATGCCATATCTGCATAGCATAAAAACTATATATAGTAATGCTTAAGCTATAACAGACATAACAGATTTCCCAAAATGAGAGCTGCAGCTTTTTCTTTGAGTTTTTCATACAGTTAGGAATGAAGTCTTATTATAACATCAAACCTAAAATAATTTAAAATACAATTTACTAAATATGTTACCTGTGTAGCTTCTGGTTGCACAGGAACTTGATTGGGCTGGGCAAGTCTTGACTCAGCATGAACTGAAGGAAAATAAATTCACTTATTACATGGTACAATCAAACAGTTGCCAGAAGAGCATTACCATCTTATCCATTTGTTACCTGAGAGCTCGTCATCATAAAGATGATTATGCCTTTGGCATGGCAAAGCTACACTCAAAATACCAATTACTATTACCATGCAAGGTATGTTTTTTTCTAGTTGTCTAAAATAATCCAGCAATTTCCCAAAGGCTCAGCAAAACTCTATTTTCTTTGTTTATTAAAGTTTAAAATGTTCCACACTTCCAAGCAACATGTAGAAGCCACTGAGAATCTGAAGTCTACAAATAGGATGCTTCAAAAGTACAATCACGTTTGTGAGAAAAACACACTTTAACATCATTTGTGATGGCCTCTTTACTACACAGCAGTAACTGAAGCATTTCTAATAGATGATTTGCAGACTTCCCCAATATTTATGTTTAGGATTTACCATTACAAACCTGGAGGGCAAACCATTTGTGGCATGTCCAAATTCTGTGCTGGATTCATGGGCTGTGCAGATACAATAGCAGGATCCAGTGTTTGGTTCTCAAACTCCAGCATAGAGTCCTGAGAAAAAATAAAAACAATATGATCAAATCCAATTTACTGTGTTTTAAAAGTATTAACGTTCAGAGTACAGATATCATCAGGTTACAATAAAGGAAGCTCAGTCCACAGTTACACAATTGCTGGGTTTACATACGTTTTAAATCAATGCAGGTAATAAAAATTCCAAAATGTATTTATTACAATAAAAATTCAGTCCGTGCATACAAATTACAGCTCATCTGACAAAAAGATAACTGGAGGGAGATTTCAGTAGCCTGATAGAATAGGCGGTAATCTACTCTTTATTCTTCATCCTAAATTAGCAATTTGTAGGAAGAAACAAAAAAAGGAACCTAAGAAGTGCATTCCTCATTTGTTACCAAGGTGTCTTCTTTTTGGTAGGAAGAGGAGAGGCTTTTTCTGATGTATTCTGTTATCTCTCAATGCATTCCTAGTTGGTTCTAACTTAAAGAAAGCCTTCCAGAAGCACCTCTAAAGTACTCTCTCCACTAGTAGAAGTTTTTCATAACACAAAATTTAGAACTAGCTTATAGAAGAGGTATTTTACCTCTGGTCTCACTTCAGCAGAATACACACCATGGCACCCTGTGCTGCACCGCTTTCTGCCTTCTCAGTGGATTTAGTACAAACAAGGAAAAGCTAAATAACACTCTCATTGTACTTTGACAGCACACAGGTTTGAGGGCTTTGGATGAGATCTTGCTACACAGCACTATATATTGTTTGCAAGACCATTGTATTTTTCAAATAAACTACAGCAGGCTCTTTAAATCATGACTAAAAACTAAGAAAACTAGAAACTTTGCTTCTTTGATTGCAGCTTCACAGTACCACGATGGGTTCATCATACCTGCATGAAGTTATAGGGGCCCTGCATCTGTGCCATAAGGTCCTGTACTCGCTGCCTTCTAACAAGAGGATCTGCTTGAGCCACGGTAGTGAGCGTGTGAGGTTCAGGAACCGGAGGAGACGTAGCTTGTGTCTGTTGCTGCAGTGAGTTTACAACCTAACGAGAAAAAAAGCAACCGACTGAAGTTTCAGCTTAAGATAACACTGCACAGAAGTGACTCAGTAGTTCTTGAAATTTATAGCTATTGCCTCATTCGTTATAGTCGTAACTACTATAATGTTCTTGAAGAAAAATACTACATCCTCCAAGTCATGCCAGTACTGGTGGCCAGCTACTGACCTGAGCACTTGATGAAAGAGTCCAGAGACTGTGCTCTATTTGCTTTCCATCTACTCTATTCCCTGTTAAGACCAGCACTAACAAAAAAAAATCTGTTCAATATTAAAGGGTTTTTTTTAGAGTAGGATTTGAGACAACAATCTATCAACATTTGGAAATCTAAAGTTAGGGAAAATAAGTTTCAGAAATACACATGCTTGGAGAACAATTCTTTTCTTATACCTTTTTTGGTAACATAAGCGGAGTCAGAATTTTTTGGTCTATCTTAAGACTTCAGAAATCTTAAGTTTTCATAGCCAGGTCGAGGCCCAAGTTCTCGAGTGTAATCCCAGCTAATTGATTTATGGTCTCAGAGAACAGCAGGCAGCACTGCATGAAGGGACGATTGCAGAGAGCACCGTGGGGGGACACCAGAAGCAGAAGCACAACTTAGAGCGGGCAAAAAAGCTCCCATTTACTAGACATATTCCAATACGGTGCACATAAACAAAGGTACAAACAGCAACATGCTTTCAAATACCACCTTATCAACGACAGCAGAGCAACCAGGAAAGCTGAACATGAGCATCAAGTAACAACCATCACCAAACGTCTTGAAAACAGATGGTTACAAGGACAATTGACCTGCATAAAGTAGCACTTTCACATTCCTAACCGGTTTTGCTCTTTAGGCAACTCCCGTACCACAGGAATGCCATTTTCAATTTGCATTCATGTCAACAACTGTCCTTTAAAAAAAGAGGATCACTGTCAGTAAGTTGTCTCTTGCTTCTCTATTCCCATGAGCTTTTCATCATTAATAATCTTCCAGATAAACAGATAAGCCTTAAACTTACAGTTGCACAGGACAGAAATTAGTTATGAATTATTATTATTATAAATTATCATTAATAATCTTCCAGATAAACAGATAAGCCTTAAACTTACAGTTGCATAGGATAGAAATCAGTTATGAATTATTATTATAAATTATCGCACCTCAAAGTTCAAAATATTTATGTAAAATATTTGGTTTCTTAGAACTGCAGAGCAGATTTCTGTACAGCAGTCACAAAAAGTGACAAAACAGTCCTAGCTTAGACCAGTTCTGTAGTAGTGTCTTAACTTCAAACCTGAACTCCCTCTTTCCACCCTCAAAGCCTGTAATTTTTTTAGTAAACTTCTCAAAGAAACCTACAGCATCTCCCAGGATGCCTACTCCTTGCTCAGATATACAAACACCATTTGTATGTGACATTCTGCAAACTCATTTTTAGTAAACTTCTCAAAGAAACCTACAGTATCTCCCAGGATGCCTACTCCCTGCTCAGATATACAAACATCATTTGTATGTGACATTCTGCAAACTCAAACTCCAATGACTCTTTCCTTGACCAAATCCCTAGCCACATGTAGTAGAAAATAAAATAAAATAAAAATATCTCTAAACTAAACTAAAAAATTACTACAACCTACATTCCTCAAGATCCAAATCTCCCAGCAGGAGAAAGCCAAGGGGAAGCAATGTAACAATTCCCATGCTTCCCACACTGGGAAACAACCACAACCGCTCTGCTGTATTACCCAGTCCCCAGACTCCAAATTATGGACTCTTTCCAAATTAAGAATAAACCCCTGTGAGCGGAAAAAACACCTTTTTGAACATGTTATTCGGCACATGTATATAGACCTCTTGCACATTACAAAGCTTTAAAATGGAAGTAAAGGGAAAAAAAGGAAGCCAGATGACTAGGTGAAACTTGAACGGTAAAGCCAGTGGCTACTCATCTCCTCCACAACTATTACCAAAAATATTCTCAGTTATCAGAGTACTATCACCCAACTTGGGAAGTCCAAGTCATTCATAACAATTCAGTATCACCAAGACAAAACAAGTTGATGGAATAATTAAGAATACAGAACGGGGACAAAATTTTATCAAATGTTTTACTTTTTCACAAATAGTACAGTACTAACTTCAGATGGTGTTTAACATTTTATATTGTCTCTGTCAAGCCTCTTTTTTTAACATCAAAGGAACTGTTTAGAGCCTATTCCTTTAGTCTTATTGTCACTACCAGGTACTTTGACCTATTACAATCATAGTAGGATGAAACTACAAAAAAAATATATTAGAGTTTTGCATGCTGACTTTCCAATGAACAGGCTCTGGTTCTACAATTAAGAGCTTTCTAACAGCCTGCTGCATGAAAAAGGTGTAGAGAATAATTAAATGTAAGGATCATTAGTCAAAAAGCAAATGATTACCCCATCATAGATCTCCCATTCATCTCAGGGGACAGCAGCAAGGTGAAACTTTTTTCTGCAGAATAGCAGAAATTGCACACTCCCCCCTCCTGCCACCCTGCCCCTCCACCTTCTCAGCAGGCAGAGCTGCTCAGACACAGTCAGAGAACAACAGGGTTGAGGCAGCCAAGGGGCAAAGGAAGAGGAAAGAAGTAGTAAAAACAGGAGTTTAGTGAAACCACAAACCAACCAGAATGAACCTGTATTCTGGCAGGCACAGAACCGTTTCCAGCTCTACAAAAAAAATATACGCACATCCATCCAACCAAAGTTCCATAATCTAAGACACAGAACTTTCTATAGAAGCAGCTTCAGCTACTTATTACAAATAAAGCAGTTAAAATAAAATCAAACAAACAAACCTCAACAACAAGCAGCCCCCAAAACAACAAGAAAACACCCCACAAACAACCCCCCCCCTCTATTACCGCTACAAGACATCTTCACCAAAATTAAAACACCATACAATCGAAACGCAAATACATTTCTGAGAATTCACAAGCAAATTCTTCAGTTTAAAACTTATGGAAGGCCCATCCAGGAATGTCATTGTGAGACACCGTCACTTCTCAAACTATAAACATACCACAAGAATCTTGAATGTATCACATCTGCTCAATGGTTACTGGAAAACAGGCCAGTTTGTGACAGCCTTCCTCTTCATAAACAATTACAGAAATCTACTACATAAATATTCTCTTTCACAATACTACCAGCTGCCAAAAGTTAACAGCTCTCATTCAGAGCTCCCACTATACTAATGCCACAACTACCTCAAGCTGAAGAGCACTGAGGCTCTATACGATACCTATCATCTTCCCTAAGGATAACTCAGTTGCATTCCCAAGAGAAAAGCAGTTTCAGTGCCAGCAAGATGTCATTTCAGAGACAGTTATTCCCAATTTCCCCTTTTTGCGTTAAATCTGAGAAAATAAGGGTCTTAATTATGAAGAAGCAGTCTTCCAATTGCTTATTTGCACATACTCCAAGAAACTGGCGGACAAAGGCAAACTGAAGTATTTATCATTTGTGTTGTTCTGTGAAAACAAAGCTGAGATAATGCAGATTTAGCTGACTAGTAAAGACACGTGGAAAACAAGGAGTTTCTGAAATCAGTCTGATACAAAACTACAACCTGAATCCTTTTACCATATTAGTGCATATTACTATTATTATTCTCACGGAGTAGCATCTGAGTTTCCAGCTGTGCAATACAGAGTCTTTCAGTTTCAGGGCAGAGGGAAGCGGAACAGGCTTCAATTCTCATGTCTTCTTCCATATTACTTACATTAAAAACGACAGAGAACTAAACCTCTAGGCTACTCTGGACAATTGGTATAAACACAGATTTAATTTGGGTGTATTTCAAGATAGACTGAAGCCATTCAAGCATTAACCTTAAAATGCATCAAGCATGACTTCAATCTGCGTGGTTTTGGAGGGTTTCTTAGGTTTAAGAGATTTCTTAAATCACATTTAATAGCAATGATATTTTAAGGTTTAAGGGAATGGAATACTATGACCAGATACTACCACAATCATTCGTGTACACATGGCAAAGTTGCTTAGTTAGGTATAGGAGCTTCATATCCATCTTAAGTGTTATTACATCTCTTAGTGGTCTTCAACACTGTAAAACAGGAATTTCAACCAGACTGAATGTAAAAATTAGGCAAATTAGACAGTAGTATCAAAATGGCTCCTCTCTTTTTCACCACCTGAATACATGATGAACACTTCCTCCACTCCTACACTTAAAAGCATGGATGAGTCACATGATGAACACTTCCTCCACTCCTACACTTTAAAAGCAAGGAAGAGTCGAAAAAATTGACCATCTGTAATTTGTTGCTACAAAAGTCTAAAGTGAGTGAAAAATTAAGTCTCCAGCACCTGAAAGATGCTGCTCATACCTGTTCCTAACAGATGGGACACAACCCAATTTCCAATATATCAAACATTTGAATGACTCCGTGTGACTTGTCCTTTCCAGTACGTGCAGAACACAAATTCTAGCATAATAAAATGGACTTGTACATAGAGCCTCAAATCTGAACTACCAAACTGGGATTGGACCCCAATAGCAATAGACCAGAAACATCACAAGTGAACAACCACTCCATGGCAAAGTAGTAACAAGTTAAACACTTGAACTATAGCTCTTTAAAGCAGAGACATACAGGCAGGCACATTTTAACATCAAATTACGTGCATATTCAATCTGGAGTAGATGTTAGTTGAGATACTAATTTTCAGCTCCCTCTCCATGGAACCACGCAATGACACGCACAACTATGCCATGCTGCCAGCAGCTGGGTAGATAAACTTAAGTTCTACATTTGCAGCAATGTTCTCTTAAAAAAAAAATAAAAAGCCTAAAAGCCTTTACAAAAAAAAGTCTCTTTCAGCCTAAGACTTAAGTCCCGTTTTCCCAAGCAAGCCACTACTGAACAAAGCAAGTTCTCCACAAACTCAGCCAGACTGCATAGCTTCTATTTTAGGTACTCCTGAGCTAAATATATAATTGAAGACTGAGTAGTGAGTCCAAGCCTACTTAAATATATGTATTTTTGTATATATTAGGGGAGAAGGGATGCAATACTAAAACCTATGAGTTGTGAGTCAGCGGAAACAGGGATTGCAATTTTACCTGCAGTACACAAGATCTTACCTCAACCGTTTCAACTGTCCACTCATCTACCTGTTCCTTCTCACTACTGCTGAACTGAGTCTCTGCCATGAATTGTCTGTTTACATACTAAAATAAAAATAAGAAAGGGTATGAAAGTAAAAGTAAGTGGCATTAAAGGTATACAAAATGACAATCTTTCCAGTGAATAATACCTCAGTTGATTCAACTTCAGCTGGTTCAGTAAATTCTTCCGCTGGATCAGGTTCTGGAAGAAAAATGTATTATTTATGTGAAAAAATAAAGCAAACCAAACCTCGTGTTACAGACCTAGAAGACAGAAGGTTAGATGAGAAAATCCCCCCCCCCCCAAAAAAAAAGTAGAGTTTTGAATTGTGATTAATTTGTGATAAATTGAGTATTTATTTAAAGAAGTGTGACAGACTACTACTACACAGGAAGTACAGTTAAGTATAAGAATTAATGGACACACTTCTACTCCTGAGTGACATGAATAACTAATATTAGAAGTTTGCTACGTGTTAAGGAATGAGTCGCCTTGTCAGACATCTTCAAGGGGATGGGATTTTGATTAGATCTGAAACTAGAGCCTCAATATTGCTGACTTGTACAGTTAAATAGCTGCTGGGTTCAGAAACAAACCTATCGTTATGAGGCAGATAAAGAAACTTGTGTCTCAGAACGAGGACAATAACAACAGGACACTAACAGAGAATTAAGCAGTAACAAGGATTTTCAGAGTTTTGAAGTAAAATTAAAAAAAAAAAAAGAAACCAAACACATTAAATCTTTGCTATGAAAAGATATGTTTCGTTATCCCAAATTTCAATTTCTCCACAAAATATTCTAAAGGGAACTCAAAAGATTCAACACGAATCTCTTCTTCAAGTCTGGTACCATGTTCACAAGTTTTAAGTATATAAACATACATTTTACTTCAAAAACTCTTTCCTTTTAACAAAGGGTTACATCAATGGAACCACTGAAAAACAGAAAAGCCTCAGGCAACCAGATCTTTAATCACTTTAGTACTACAGACAAACAAGATTTTGTTTATAAATCATAATGAGAAGTTCTACAGGGAAAACAAAATAGGAAAAAGGCTATTTTCGTTTGCCTAGACTTGCTTCTAAATAATGTCATTGTTGGCCTGGGTTCTTATTTCAGCAAGTCACATATTTGACAGAGAAATGCTGAAAGATGTGCTCAAAACCAAGTACTACTAAGGGACTTTGTTCTCCTTCATTCAGCTGATGCTCCACAGTTAGAACAGTAAGTCTTTCCTTGCACTGACCGAAGACATTTATGACAGGATTACGAAAGGATTACGGTCCCTCCAAAGTAGCTGGCAAGAGTCAGCCTTAGAGAACTCTTCTGGAACACAGCTCTGTTTCTCCTTCCCCATGGGTCAGGACAGGGAACTGCCAGAGAAGGTACAGCAGAAGACTACAAAGAGGATGAGATGAGGGGCCTGGAGCATCTCTCTAATGAGGAAAGGCTGAGGGGCGTAGGTCTTTTTAGTCTGGAGAACAGAAGACTGAGGGGGGATTTGATCAACACCTATAAATACTGAAAGGGTCGGTGTCAGGAGGATGGGACCAGTCTTTTTTCAGTGGTGATAGGACAAGAGGAAATGAGCACAAACTTGAACAGAAGTTCCACCTGAACACAAGGAGGAACTTTTTTCCTTTGAGGGTGGCAGAGCCCTGGCAGAGGCTGCCCAGAGAGGTGGTGGAGTCTCCTTCTCTGGAGACATTCAAAACCTGCCTGGACACGTTCCTGTGCAACCTGCTCTAGGAGGACCTGCTCTGGCAGGGGGTTGGACTTGATGATTTCCAGAGGTCCCTTCTGACCCCTTATCATTCTGTGATTCTGTGACAGGGCTGAACAACTGCCCCTATACATGGTACCTGGCCAGATTTATAGCCAATTATCAAGAAATGACATTTTTATTCAAAACACCTGTACACCTCAAGAATTCAGAGACAGGTGATTTTTGCGTTTAAAACTGCATTTGGAATTATTCTGACGAATCCAAAGAGACAAGACAGTACAGCACAAATATGTCAGTCATGCAGGATCTCCATATTCTTACCAGCTTCTGCTACAGTGTCTTCTACTGCAGGTGCGGGTGCTGCCTCTTCTTCCTCACATAGTCCATTCTGATGGTTGTGGGTGCTATCAAAGTAACTAGTTTGAAGAATACGTTCAACAATCTCCTTTAGCGCTTTATCTGGGAAAATGTAAGAAGTAAAAAGATTAACAGAAATTCAATCCTAATAGTATTTTCCTTCCTTCCCAAAGATCCCACATAAATGTTATTACCCTTTTGCTGGGAAGATGTTGCTGGGCCAAGCTAGTCCATGGATACTACTGTTACAGAATTTCTTCTTACTAGGTAATATTAAATAAATCAATAATCAACTTACGTACAGAAATATCTGACGGGCAAGGAGAATCTTAAGAGTATGTAATAACCTTCAGAAGGTTTGTGAAACACTTTAAAGTGAAGCAAAGTTTATGAATTTAATTGCCGTGCTTTTATTCCTGCTATTTCAAAAATGTCTGGTTGCTTAGTTTTCATTTTGGAAAGTTTTACAAACTCACTGAAGTTTCAACTGTACCCGATTTATTTGTAACTTCCTAATAAAAAAAAAACCCTTTACTGTAAGTCAATTTCTTACAAAACAACTGTCACACAAACACATTTACACAAGTAATTCAAGAAGGTTCTTCCCCTGAGGTGAAGTGGCTCAGAACAGCCTTTGTAAGTGAAACAAGCACAAGCTTGCAGTCCTTGCCTCGGATCAATCCTGTGGTGTCTTAACCCAAACCAAATCAGCCGTTGGCAAGGCAGCATTTCTGACTGTCTTGGCCAACACAAACAAAACCAGACTCAGAATGGAAGATTCACAATGCACCTCTGGCCAGTGACGTTCCCTGTATGAATCAATACATACACATAAGCAAAGAAATACACTAACATTTATCCTGATGATAAGACAAAGCAAACCAGCAACGACTGTCAATGATGGCAGTAAAAGCTCATCCCAGGATCCAGACACAATACCCAGCACAGCTTCACTCAGTAAGAGAATGACTAGGCCCCCAGTGAAGGACAGAGCTCCCTCCTGGAAACAATCCTCATACCTTCTCCTTCCTCCACCTCTTCAAAAAAGCCTGAGGCACTTAACTTTGGGCTCTCACCAATATCTAACATCACAACCATTTCAGACCTGAGTTCTTTCAGGACAAACACTGTGAAAATTAACATTTCTGCAAGAAAGCAGTCTATTTGCATGATTACACCATGATTTACCAAGCTAATCAATCAAAATAGGGCAAAACCAGAAAGCTCTTTGCAGGAGACAAGAAGGGCAGAATATCACACTGAATATGACCTAGTATATACATGGCCTTACTATTGACAAAGCTCCTTGTTCACAAACGTGTTTCCAGAAAAAAAAAGAACTGCTGCTAAGCACCACTAGTGGCAGAATACTGCTGAAACCGCAGGAACGGCCTAAGCTAAAAATACTGAGTAATGCTGCATCAGTAAATAAAATACACCACACAGTAGGCTCACACTTCAGGAAGTTCTTCTGTTACAGTCCAGCTAAGGTCTGAAAAAAAAGTACCTGCTCTAAAAACTCAGGAAAATAATTAACTGCCAAAGTTCTCCGAGATCAAACACTGGATTTTAGTTCAAGCAAATTCAGAGCGCTATCTCTTAACACAGAGACTATACTTACAGGTTGTTCCACAAACTGGTTTTTCCTTCCCTTCCAGTAAGTCCCACAGGTGAACAGATGCTTGCTCATACTGCTCACTCAACCTTAAAAAAAATAATTAGTAAGGGTTAATTTCTTACTAAGTCTTTAAATTGCCACAGGACAAATATATCCTTAACTAACTGATAATTACAAAGAAAAGGACTTTACCAGAAGCCTACCTCATGTTCATGTCCCGTTCAGGGTAAACTAGCTTGTAAAATTCATCCAGCATTGTCAGTTCCTCCTCTGTCAGTACTGGAACTCCATTTGAGCCTTGTTTCAAGTCGTTGCGCACTTCGTCATCACCCAACTTGTCCAAAATAAACTGCAGCTCTAGTACAGTCTTTAAACGTTTCTGCTCAGCTTCTTCTCGCATCAGTTGCTCCCTGCGAGCTGTCTTTTTTATTGTTTTCTGGATCTGTTTAAAATGAGAAGAAATTTTAGATTCTGTAGTGAACTCGGGGACAAAAAAATATGTTTGAAGTGTCTTTTATTGATGAGATGGATGTTGGTGTTGAACTGCCACTTATCAATTTAATATTATAGCAGAATAATCTGTGAGATTTGAAGAATAAGCAGAGTCAAAACCCTGCAAAGTAAGACAAACTTTAACATCAATGCCACAAACCTTGGATCATATCAGATCTTGATCACATTCTTACTCTAAGTCTGTACTTCATGATTTACAAGCAGTTCTGTAACTGCAGTTACCATGTGTAAAGGCTCAGACATGAATGTGTCATTTCTAGCAGGCCCAGCTTGCTGTTATCTGCTTTCTTTATTAATTGTTCTGTAAACTCTAAGTGACATTAATCTAGAGGAAAGTGGCAAAAATGTACAAAATTAACTACCTTTTAGACAAACCTTGTGGCTATTTACAACTTCTGGTTTCCTAAACTCAAGGAGAACTTACAGCAATTAGAAAAGGTACAGAGAAGAGTAATCCAAATGATTAAGGGGACAGAGCAGTTGCCTTATGAGCAGAATCTAAGACTTGGGTTCTTCAATTTGGAGGAGTAAGGGTGATCCAGCTTTTTCATAAAGGCCAGCAGATACCATGAACAGAGCAGTTATTCACCATATCCCGTGGTAGTAGGAGGCGTTCATTGAAACTACTAGGAGATCAGCTTAAAAACAGATAACCAAAAGAAAAGTGCTCTTGTTTCTTACACACCCTGGGAAGGAACTCACAGAATGTTTTGCCATGAAAGGCTGGCAAGATAGACACTATCAGCAAGTTCAAAAAAAGATTTCAATAAATTCTTGGACTATAGCTCCATGGACACTAAAGGGAATGGGAAAACATCTACTCTTTAACATCCTCAGTCTGAGGATCCCAGATGCTGGAATGGATGACAGATAATCATCAGCCTTGTGCTCTACCTAGAGCCTTCTACAACTGCTGTCGTAATACTGGTCTGAACGCATCACTAGACCAAACCTACAGGATGCTTCTTCCATTCTTATTTTTAATCCAAGCATCTAGCATTCAAAATTCAGCTTGCTCACTTTATAACTATACAGCTCTTTAATCTTTCTTTTCAGAAAAATTTAACTCATGACAGGAACTTTCTCCATCTGAAGCATATTTTTTTTAAAATCAAAGACCTATCTTAACATCAACTGTATATACAGTATATAACATCAACTGTAATACTTAAAAGGGAGGGTGTCAAGAGGATGGGGCCAGGCTTTTTTCAGTGGTGCCCAGTGACAGGACAAGAGGAAATGGGCACAAACTTGAACAGAAGTTCCACCTGAACACAAGGAGGAACTTCTTTCACTGCGAGGGTGGCAGAGCCCTGGAAGAGGCTGCCCAGAGAGGTGGTGGAGTCTCCTTCTCTGGAGACATTCAAAACCCACCTGGACACGTTCCTGTGCAACCTGCTCTGGGTGGCCCTGCTCTGGCAGGGGGTTGGACTAGCTGATCTCCAGAGGTCCCTTCCAACCCCATAGCATTCTCTGATTCTGTATGAGAACTAACCCAACCCCATAGCATTCTGTGATTCTGTATGAGAACTAATTCCAATCAAGATAAAACGCTACCGAGTTTGAAAGCAGAGCACCAATTTATCACTCCTGGATTCACTCAATTCTTTTGGCAGTCAGCTGACTAGGGAAATATTTCAGGAAAGTTCTTCATTACTAAGATTCCATAAGCAGAGATGGAACCCTGATGCAAGAAAAGCAAAGGCACGGTTTGGCTTAGAGACCTAGAAACTAACATCAAACGTAGAAAGCAGTTTATAATGCGAGGATGCTGATGCCCTTCAAATTATCACATAGTCTGTTCACAAACTTAATACGCTCATTAGACCAGTCTGCTGCACTAACATCCACCACACAATGAATTCTACCAGTGTTGCTGCTCTCTCCAAACTCATTAATTCTAACTCTACTACTGCATTTACCATCTTCCAGCCCTGGAGAACGGGTTACGCTTTCAGCTTGCCCAGAATTAATTCTTCCTTGCAATGATACTGCAGAGGTCTAAAGTGCATCTTTTTGTTTGCAGCCCTTGGCACAAGAAATAAAGCAAAGCTGTTTATATAACTGGAACTGTCTAATCAGGTTTTAGAACTCCTTCTTGACCACACTGTTATTTTAAATCCTTGATAAAACACCAACCCAAAAGATTACCTGTTTTACTAGTATTCAGCTAACATATCCTTGATGAAAATAATATTAATCTTGTCCCATCCTGCAGTTGCAGACTGTATTTGCAATTAACAAGACAGAATCTTGAAAAAGGAACTGCAATGCTTTCAGTTGCTGAGATTTGATATCCTATGCTAATACAAAGAAACAAAAACCCTCAGCCCCTTGCCAAAGAGAGGAGACGGCCTGTGTAATCTGTTTTCTTTTTAAAAAATTGTTACTATTGGCATTTTAAGTGGCTGATTATAATGTCGCATGACAGGCCTGTTCTGCAATCACTGTTTTTAACAGCTATGCTTTATCAGAAAGTTACATTATTTTTGTTCCCATATATTTACATAGTCCGTCAGAAAAATATTTTAAGAGAGAGTCTTCAGAAAACCTGACACAAACTAATACACAGAGTAAAAGGAAACAGTAAAACATACAAGAAATCACAAGCATTTCATCTCTGTAAATGAGGTGACTACTGCATCTCCTATTAGTGAAAAAGAGTTTAAAGCCTCAGTGTTTGGTATTGCAGCTGATGGCCCACATTGCACCACTTGCTCTTTACTTACATCTTGGCTTAGAGCCATAAAACTCCTCTGCAGTTCTTTAGCAAATTCCAAATTATTTGTCACTTCCTGGTATTTTGACACCGCATCCTTAAAAAAAAAAAGAACACAAAAGTAAATCACCACAAATAGAATACGTACTTCCAACAAAAAAAATTCCCACATTTTCAGTTCCTAAGTGAGACACAGCATCCTGGAATGAGGCTGCCTGCAACAATGTTAAGTCAAATTTTGATTTTCACTGGCTAAAATGTTGAAAAGACTTGTGTATGTCTTTAGGACCTTTAGTTTCTTAAATAAATACGCTACAGCACATTCATATATAGGTAAGTGAGACACAGCATCCTGGAATGAGGCTGCCTGCAACAATGTTAAGTCAAATTTTGATTTTCACTGGCTAAAATGTTGAAAAGACTTGTGTATGTCTTTAGGACCTTTAGTTTCTGCTACAGCACATCCATATATAGTCTCACATGCATGACATAGTATTTTAATATTTTAGCCAGTTTCTGGGGAAAAATGGAGAAGAGTGATCTGGCACCTCAAAACTGCTTAAGAGATAGATGTTTGAGAATTAATGCACTGTTACCTTGAGTCAGAGGCAAAAATCAAAACTCTACGCAGACCGCAACATTCCCTTCTCCAGAAATCTGTATTATTTGCTATTTTCTTAAATCTAATATTCTGATTTGCACTAAAGCAATCCAAACTCCTTAACCCAACTTTGCAGTGCTAAGAAATTACAGAATCAGCTCAGAGGGGGGGGGGAAGAAAAAAAACAAAAAACAACACAGCTGAGACAGAAATCTGTATTATTTGCTATTTTCTTAAATCTAATATTCTGATTTGCACTAAAGCAATCCAAACTCCTTAACCCAACTTTGCAGTGCTGAGAAATTACAGAGTCAGCTTAGAGGCGGAAAAAACCCCAAAAAACAACACAGCTGAGACGTTTACACTCCTGCTGTGACAAAATCAATAACGGGTATGTTCTTGGTAAGAACAATTAAGCCAGAGAGAAGGTAAGGTCCTGCTTTCTTTGAAAAGCAAGGAACATGAAATGTATTTGCTTTTTTAAATTTAAGTATTTCCATTTGTAATATAGCTAAGATACTTATACATATACCCATACTACATATTACACATACACATTAGGTGATTTACAATATTAATCATTCTTAGCTGATTTGTAGAAGCAGAATACATAAGTGAAAATAACAAACGCTTTCAGTATTTCTCCAGCCAAAAAAGATTGTATCTTTATGAAGTGTGGTAGTCAGGCTGTGGTCTTCATGAAACTTAATTCATGAGCTTCCCTCCTCAATATGAGACATTAGTTTCTTCCTTGCTCATCAAATAGAAAACTTCTCATGGTTTATTTTCAAAATACGCCATTAAAAACTAAAAATATACAGATCAGTGATATTTCAGTTTTCGGTTGCACAGAACAACCAAAGCAAAGCCTAAACAGATGAGAAGACCACATGGACCAAGGGAAGCAGCTAATTCTTTTAATTGTGAACAGCTGCAATAGTTGCAGTGTACATTTTCTTTTCCTTCACTCTCTTCAATGTTCTAAATCATCATCAAAATATTGTTGATTACTGAGCATCTGGTAATCTCTCCAAGTATCAATATGCATGTTTGCATCATACAACTGAATTTAAATTGATACTTGCTTTACATTTGCTACAACTGGAAAACTGCTGTTGAGTCAAGTGCTTCAATAACGTACTTTAAGAACCAGCCCCAACAAGGAGACAAGCAGAATCCATTCAGTAAGTCCAGCTTATCTAGAGCATCATATCTGCTGCACTGATAGCTGTGACATACATGTGGATTTAGCTTATTTTCAGAGCCCTTGAGAACTAGGTCTAAGCTACATCTCTAACTAGATGGCACAATGTTTACAAGCTGCCAAGTGACTAAGCTCCTGAAGTTCTCCCTGGGCACGCTTTCTGCAAAGAAAAGGATGACGTCCAGAGAACCTCAAAGGTATCCTATTTAGCTCTTTCAACAGTCCTAGGTCATAACACGTGCCAGTTTTCACCACAGCTTATTTACAACCTAACCTCAACAAATATAAAGCATTCGTCTACCCATTCCTTCAGTTTCTGATTAACAGAAAAATTGAGATGTTCTAGGCAACAAAATAAAACCTGAGGCTAAGTCAGAGCTCAGAAAAACCTAGTTTTTAACAAGGGGAAAGAGGAAGTGAAATTCATCCCTTCCTTCCCCAAAAAGGTCACAAAACAATTTAATAGATCTGGTTAGTAATTTTTTTTTTCTTTTACCAGTTGATCTTGATTCAGACGTTCTCCTTTGTTCATTCGTTCCTGGTAATCATCAAGTTTGCTCTGAAAAGAAAGAAAAACGCTATTACAAGGAGCCAAAATCAGGTTACTGCTATTTTCTACTTGTGCTAACAAAATTAGGTACTGTAATATTACAGTCAACACAGAGTGTAACACATTACACAAGCATGCAACTGTTGTGTAGAAATAGCACCCAAGAAAATTTGTCTTCTGGGTTAGAAAAATGTAAATACTTCCCCCCGAGAGACAAATATTTTAACGTTATTTGGCTATCGCAATACATCTTCACAACTAGTCTTAATTTCTGAGAAAATGCAGATTTCTCCTAGTGGGGAGAGGGCTCTCAATGCACATTTCAGTCAGTTCAAACAATAGAGAGATGAACTCATTTTGAATCAGAGCTTATTTCTTCTGTATCACTACAATACCAAAAACATGACTGCAAAAAAACACTGTCAATGCTAATAAGATTCAGAACTGCAATTCTTTGTACTTGCATCAGTTAAGATAGTTTTAAAGAATTTAAAACAGTTTCTAATCCTTTATGCAAGAATGCCCACCAACACAATTCATATTAATAGCTCTAAAATATTTTTGTTCAAGAGCATTAAGATTTCTTTTTCATGGAGAGAAACTGAAAAAGGAATCATTAGGTTAATTTGCAGCAGGAACGGTTCTCTAATCTGCTTAAATACAAAACTCTACAAAACACTAACATTAGCCAAAAGCAGGTAAAACTTATACATGCCAGAAGTGACAAAGAACCTACAGGTTAAGTAGAAAGTCTAGAAGAATAACATAACTATTAAGCTCTAAGCTTTCAGCATTTATTTATTACCACACATGCTTGTATTTTTTATGAAATTTGCCTTGGCCTTATTAAAAAAAGCCATTAAAATGAACCCTTAAGAATTATCTTCCCAATCTAGCATAACAACAAGAATAAAGCAAACAGAAACACTTCATTTTGAATGTAAAATAATTCAAGCCCTGATGCAACCACTGATTCAGAGTTTATAGTTGCCACAGAACGACAGGGGGTTTTGGTTGTGATGGTTTTGGGGTTTTTTTACTATTTTGTTTCAGGACATTTCAGTTAAAATATTTTACTGATATTTCTCTAGCTTATTCAACTTCTATGTTCCATCTCAGACCTTTTGGAAAGATCACAGTCTATGAACCAGTTTAACAAGAAAGCTCTTCTTACAAAGTATTTGATGCCCAGCATCACTTACTGGAACACGTAACCACCCTTAGGGTGGTCTTTTTGATGTCTCCTAGCACCAACAGTTTATTTCTTTGGAAAACCTACAGGTTAGATTTAACACCTAACTAGTTCATATTTCAGTGTATCAGAGCTAGTAATGGCCTAGGGAATTATATGCTGGCGACAGACACAAGCAGAGTAATAGTTGGCAAATGCAGCAGCCACACAGCTGGTAATACATCAAAAAAATACTCCTGAAAAGTATTTGGCATATTGGAAACCTACCACGACCGGAAATGAGGTCATTTTTCTCCTCTACATACTGGTTTTAGAATAGACAATGACAAGTTTGGACAATCACAAACATAGTTTTCATGATTTAAGAGACAGTAGCTGAGCTGTGAGATCTAAAAAGGAGGGTAAAGAGCCCACTGTGAAGCCAGCCAGGTTAACTGAAGCCTTCACTGCTTAATGTAGCTTAATCCTACAACGAAGTGGCTTTGCAGACAAAGAAATTTTCAGAAGTTCCTGCTTGCTCAAGCCACTTACTCCCATGCTGCAGATTACAATTCCCTTGGTCACACTGATGCAATTGTTTGGGAGGCCGCGCAGTAAATAGCCTGCTAATATGAGCCAGTTTAAACAGTGCCTACAAACATGCATTTAAAAAAAACCCCACCAATTTGTGTGATGCTGTTTCCAGCACAAACCCATAAACAGTAACAATAGTAAAACAGGATAGAACACCAAATTCTAGGAGAACACTATTTAGATCAACTCTGTTGAAGTAAACATATATTGCAAAATTATGCTGCAAAACACTCACATAATCCATTTTGGTGGCTAAGGGCATAAGGGAGGGAAGAGACAAAAATACCCTAAATAACTACAACTGTTTCTGCATAGTTCTTGCATGCAGCTTTCCTTCAGCATGGCTGGTATCCTCAGATTAAGCATATTGCAATAATATATTTTAACGGTGAATAAGTTTTTCTTAAATGGTCAGATATTCTTAGGTCTAATGTAAATGCTTTGTTCATTTTTATTCAGCAATTTAGCAACTAAAAACCAAAGGGTAATACATTTATTTCTAAAATACTTCTATTCTAAAAATTACTTCTGCTCACTTTTTCTTCCTTAAAAACATTCGTATCAGAAAGGTAAAAGCCAAAGAAGGAAAAGCCTTTCAGCTGCAATGCAGAGGACAAGCAGATGTGCATTTAGTTACACGTTATCACAAAGATTCCAAATGCCAAGCAAGTATTTTTCTATCATCCCAAAGACACCGTAAAATCCAAATGCTGCATTACACAAAAATATTAAGGAAGCCAAATGCTTTGTTTTCAATCTGTACCATCAACTAAAAACAATCTAAGAGCAGCATTAGTGCTGTAAAAAAACTGCAGTAAAATTCCTGCTTAGCAACCTACTGCAGTGTCTGCAAGAAGTAAAGATCTTCTTAATTTTACCCCCCCTTACCCAACTTCACCCTCACTCATCACGGATATACATCTTGAAGCATAAAAGCCAGGCCAGCAGAAAAAAAAAAAACCTCCAATAATCAAGTGGCAAAGTGAGCACAGAAATTGTCTATTAAACAGCTCGTGAGTCAGCAGACCCCAGCTCTGCAGAGAACAAGCCACGGGCTTCATTTCTTTTTCCACCAAGATACCTGAAGTATTTTGGAGTTCCCTGGGAGAAAAGCACTAAACACAGGCTACTGGGGAGGGGGGGAGAGGAACAGGGCGACGGTGGTGGTGTTCATTGCTTAAATATGCCCTAGATTTCATTTTGATAAGAATTCAAAATTGAATTACTTTATGGTAACAGATTCCTTCCCCTCACACTCGAGTTCTCATTACCTTCTCTGAATTGCTTCAAAAATGTCATCCCAAAGTGGAAAAAAATAAATGCAGTTACATGACACTAGCTTCAAAAACAATGCTGGTTTTAAAATGCCTGACACTCAGCTGTGCTGTTACAGTCATTTACAGTGCTGGGCTATAAAGTGGATCACTGGAATGATCTGATTAAAAATAACCCTTAAAAAAGGGGGCCAGGAGCAGGAGGGAGGTGCTATATTTAACCAGATAATTTCAATGGTATGTTTTATACCAGTTACAGTGGCACAAGTGTATATGACAAGCTGCAAGGTGGAAGGGGAGAAGGTAACCTCTTCAAGCAGCTCAAGTAAACATTTTGTAATGCACATTTCACTACAAGTAAAGATGAAAGAGACTATTTCAAGTCTGTATTATGAGATCTCTCAAAAAAAAAAGTTGGCTTTTTTTTTAAACAGCATTAAGCAATTAAGATAATCCAAAATTTAAAACAGCCGCATTATACACTTCACCCTGAAGCAAAAGAAAAACCAAGCTAGAAAACAGAAGTTTAACAACCTGGTTTACATTTGTACATTGTAATTTATCCACCTTCCACCATCACCTCCACACTCATTCATCAGTTTAACTTCTCAACAAAGACTGCCCAGAAATTACTAAGAAAAAAAAAAATATTACAAAAAACATATAACCAGTCTTCCCATTTCCTCAGAAAAAACAGGCAGGAAAAAAACCCAAAAAACCAAAAAGGTAAAGCACTTAAACTGTAACAGGAATGAAACACGGAAGTTCAGAACCTCTCAAAAAACCTCACAGTTCTCACATTCGCTCTCTGGGTGCACTTTCTCTCCTATCTGCACAGCTAAGAAGTCCCAAGAAACTGTTTCAGTCCTGAATTATAACCAAGAAGATGTAATGAAGAATTTACACCAATACTCCATAAGACAAAACACTTACAGGTCTTTTGTTTAAACTGAATTATTTTTTTTTAAATAACAGTTGTATTTAATAACTGTTATTTTTTAAATAACAGTTGTAAATATTCTTGTGGTTTTTTTCCCCAAGAAGTCTGCTAAGTTTGACGGTTTAGAAAAAAATCTCTTTATTGGTTTTTATGCAAGTGATAAAGATGTACCAGTTCTGAGAGTGCAGTCTCAAAGGGACTGATGACAAAGGGATATTCTCCTGCTGCCCCCATGCCAGCAGGGACAGCCATATGGCCTGGCTGGCAGCTGGGCAGGAGCCTGAGCCCACTGAACACACAGCGACAGGGACACACAAGGGACCCTCTCCTTCCCAAAGAAACACAGAACTGTGTGCAACCTTCAAAATGTAAACCTTTTAAAACTCCAGTGAGTTGACTACAGAGAAAAAAAAAAACCTGCTTCTTCCATAACCTGAAACTAAGTTAAGCCACAGATGAGTGGAACTCCTAGAAGTTTTGGTGGCTGTGTTTGTATGTTCTCTTCCCAAATCACCATGCACTATTTCCTATGGAAACCCTATGAACCTACAGGTAAGTTCAGTACACTGAGAAGAGACCGAGATTTTCTTCTACACATCATTTATGTCCAAAATGAGTTAATTTTTCAACAGCAAGTGAATTCTACATAAACTGGGTTCACCCAACACATTCTGTGGACCTTTTTCTTCTGAAAGAACAGAAAAAGCATCAACAAAGCATCAGAGCAACATTTGAAAAAACGTAAATAACTAGAAGATCTTTCACAGCTTGTAAGAGTCATCATGTATCCAGTTAACAGAACTTCCTTGAAAAATAATCCCTGTACTACATAAAACAGTTATAAACAAAACAGAGCAAGCTGAAACCAGAAACTACCAAACACCAAATAATTTCACAGATAAACCTGCCTGGTTTTTAAGATACAAAACTTGGTTACCCAAAACTGCTATCAAAAGAGTTTTCAAAGAAAGATCTGGGCTTTCAGTACATAGGTTCAAATTAATTTCACAATGTCTTAGTTTCAAAAATCACATTTAATCTCCAAAGATAAATTAGAAACCAAGCTTCAGAAGGAGAGCTTCTAGAGAGACACTCACAAGCCTTGAACATCCAAGCAGCCCAAATAATGGCGCAAAAGCACTTAAAAGCACAGCTACTGATGGGCAACTTGAAGCACAGCCTTCCCTGCTATCATTAGCTGCACCTACCAGAACAGAAAGCTGATCTCAGCTTTTGCTATAGGTTGGTAACTGTCTCCTATGAGAAATTCAACATTTTAGTCAACCAAGTCAGATTAACCTGACACTCCTGTTCCAGTAAAAATTCTTGTACACTAATGACAGAGGCATTTTTTAAGTATTTATTTTTCAACCTAGTCAGGATTATGCTTATTCAGAAATTCAGAGATGGGCTGAGAAAGCAACAGCATTTAAAGTTACCAGTTACAGTTAAAACATACCATCTTTTTAACTAACACCAAGCTCAGGTGATGTCAAGTAGTTTATGTTAACATGCTTACTTCATGTTTAGTTATCCAAGAATAAATCACCTTTTGGATCACCTGCCCATACATCAAACCATGTGTTAGCAAATGAAAGATTTTGTCCCTCTTACAGAACATTTTGTTTTAACAACTGTTTTTCCACAGTTCATGCTGTATTACACAAGTTGAAAGCAAAAATAGCTTTCTCAGTCATCATTGTATCAAGAAATGAATTTGATCTCCATCAAATTGAAATGTTCTTCTCTCTGAAAAACAAGAAGCAGAAGGGGCAGGGAGGAGAAAATGCAGGTCTTTACTGAAGTATTTTCTCCACAGGAACCTGGAGAGTTAGTAGGATTCTAACCTCAGATGCCTAACAGAAACCTAGAGGAGCTCATGTAACTTTTAAATGAAGCTTGTCAACATATACTCAAGTCTGTCTGAAGGTCTTGCAGAGAAAATACCCCTTCAATTACCCCCTCCCACGCACACGCAAATATCTAGTCATCTAAGAACAGAGGAAGAGAACAGGAGAGCATTCCTATCATTTCCAAATACAAAGAGATGAAGAGAACACAGACATTTTCAGGCCATGCTTTCACATATGTTTATGAACAGCAATTCAATTTATCCTAATCCCTTCTTAACAAAAACTATACTCATTCTTTCAAATAATGAGGTCACTTTCAGGAAGATAAAATGAAAGCATAATTAACAATCTAGTACTTCTAGTCTATATAGAAACATTCAAAATAGTATAGAACTAAATTATAAATATTTTTATTTGAAAATGTGTACTGTATTTTGATGGTCACATCATTTTATCCTCAGAGTTCAGAAAGAAGCATGACACTAAATAATTAACTTCAAAATTTCCAATTTCTTCATCAAGAATGACCTTTCCTCAACTAAGATCTGCACATACCATTTAAAACCCAAGATGGTACCTCTTTATGGAGCAATTACTTTTCATTCTCCAGAAGCATGTGTCTAAGTCAATAATATTTTTGTATTTGTTCTCAAATACAAAGCTCTCAAAATCATCTCTACTGCCCTTTGTTGTCAGCTGCTGACAAAGAAAGGATTAAATGTTCTGCTAAGCAGAAGTTCTCAGTGAAATTTACTGGATTTTTCACTCACTCCTGTCTGTGCAGTATCCAGTACCATTATTAATTTGTGTACTTCAGTAAACTTATCAAGTTATAAAATAAAAATACTGATACCCATGTGTACAGTAAGCTTTGTTTCCAGGACCCTAAGCATGCAATGTTCTCTTGATTAGAGAATGCAGATTAACTAAAGAACTGTTGATACCCCCGCCAAGGTAGAGCCTCAAGCCCACAAATTCTGCTTTCACACACCAAGAACAATATATCATGACTTCTATAGAACTTACATGAGAATCCTACTTTAGCAAGTTTCAGAACTTCTTCAGCCCATTAAGAAGTTTTGAACTTTAATTTATCTGTGTGAGAACACACCCAGCTTGTCAAGACCTAGCCTTTGTCTTTTCTTAAGCCCACACTGCCTAGCACTGAGTACCCCCCAAAAATATACTCTAATTTTAATGGAATATCTCTCAACAGAAGCCATTTCCAGAAAAAAAAAAAAAAAAAGCACTTTGTTCCCTGTATTCACTTGCCCTGACATCAGATACAAAAAGCTGTGGCAGCAGCCATGGATACAAACAAAAAAACAACCCCAAAACTTAGGGCCTTCTTGAGACCAGCATCACTAATTTTCACTCTCTCCTGCCAGAGTAACAGCCTCCCACGCATCCTTCTAACTTAAGGTTCTATGAAAGTCGACCAAAAGTCCATTCAAATAGAATGGAATGGCCAAGCCAAGTGTAAATTAGGTGTAAATTATTTATTTTAATAGGTAAATAAAAACGCTACTAGAAAGGAAAGCTGACCTGCACACTAACAGGAGCGTGCTCATCCTCTTTATTACTTCAAAGTACGCAATAGATCAGTTAATTCTAGTATTTATAATATAGATTTTAAATGTCAGACAAATATTTTTAGGGGAATTTTGTGTATGTTAGATACAACCATCATTTGAAAGCATCCTACTTTAATGAAGCAACTAGAAATGAACACAAAGATCTGCATTCTTTCTCAAGCTGATGACCAGCGTTTTTGTGTGTGCAGTCGTATGTATTGATGACAAGTTTCAGACAGACATTTTGTCCTATCTATACATGACAGTATTCAGACAAGGATCAAGAAAAGGTCCTCCAATTATAAAACTTATTTAAAAAGTTCCTGCCTTGCTGCCTTCTGTCCTTTTGTTTTTAAAAACCAGGAAAACCCAACACCCATTTTTTTGAAGTGGGAAACTAGGCATTGCCTATATTGCCAGGCAACGCACTGCTTGTTTTATTTGCAACTCACCTGTGCAGACTAATTTACTGCTGATAGTCCCACCTCCTGCAAATATAGAATACTAAACTAGACTACTATGATCTGAAGTGGTAGTTTAAAAAACGAAGAGCAATTGTGCTTATTTACTTCCAAGAACAGATTTAGAGCTTCAACGCAGCCATAACATTAATTTTTAGTATTCCCTAATTTTAGCTTAGTGTTTTGAAGCAAGTCTTTAGGCTACACGTTAGTATTTTTTTTCTGATGGACACCTCATGCTCTGCAGGTTGGAAAGCCCTCTGAGACTTATTTAATCCAGCAACACCGAGCACGGGGTGGGTGCCACATAAACCATAAGCGACCACAAACACCCTTTTTTTTCCCCCCTCTTCTGTCACAACTCGAACCGTCCACGGACCACGGGATTTAGCAGCTTGCTACTTCTAAAAATAACACATTAAAGGCCGCTTCCAGCTGACCTAAGGCTCCCAAAGAGGGGAAGTGAGCTTAAGGCGATGAGAAAAAAAAAAAAAAAAAAAAAAAAAAAAGGAGAGATGAGAAAGCCCTGGGTGGGGTGGCCGGCGGCCCCCGGCTTTGTGCGGGCTGCTGGCACAATGCAGTTCCGCCGGAGAGGCTGGGGCTGCCTCCGCCGCCGCCATGTTAGCTCCCGCCTCCATGTGCACGGGGCTCTGAGGGGAGCCCGCCGCCCCACAGCCTCTGCCCCCCGCCTCAGCTCACCCCTCCGGGGGCGGGGAAGGGGGAACGATCCCGCAATCGGGTTGTTGGAAGGGGGGGAAGGCAGGGAAATGGAGGTGCCGTTTCCCCGCGGCGAGGGGAGAGCGGGGCTGGGCAAGGCCTCGCTGAGGGAAACAAAAGGCGGAAGGAGGAGGGGGGGGAGAGGGAGCCGCGCCGCTGAGGGGGTCTCGCAGGGAGCCTGGAGGGGGCCGTGGGGCTGAACCGGGGGGGCAGACACGACCCCTCCGGCCTCTGTCCTCCACCCCTGCTGCTGAGGGAGGGAGCGGGGCGGCCGGCCGGCTCCCGGGGCGGAGGGAGAAGGCGGCCAACAAAAGGGGTCGGGGGACCCCCAAAAGGGGAAGGGAAAAAGGCCGGGACGGAGGCGCTCGCCCTTCTGGAACCTTCCAGCGGGCGGCCCCTGGGGGCGACGGCGGGAACAACCCGCGCAAGGCCGCAGGCTCCTTCGCCCAGGGAGCAGGAGGGCACGGCCGAGGGGACCGGCCGTCTGGCCGGCACAAGGAAGAGGAAGGAAAATAAGATGGGGGCGGTTCAACGTCCTTTCAGGCGACCCTACACCGGGGGCCAAGGCTGGCCAGAAAGCGGGGGCCTCCCGGGGTGAGGAGGGTGGGCGACCCGAGGGGCCCGGAGCCCACCCTCGGGGCTGGGAGGGGAGGAGGGGCCCGGTCACCCCGCGTCCGGCGGGGAGAGGAGAGCGCACCTTTTTCTTCTCCAGGTTGCGCAGCTTTTTGTCGATCACGCCCAGGATCTGCTTCATGGCCTCGGTTTGCACCGAGGTGATGCTGCCGCCCGATGCCTGCGGGGCGGCCGCCGCTGCCGCCGCCGGGGCTGTCTCGCCGCCCGGGCCCGCTTTCCCGCTGCTGCTGCTCGCCATAGTGCTGTTGGTAGCCGAGGGCATCTCTGTGCGAGACGGGAGGGAGAGAGAAAGAAAGAGAGAGAGAGACAGGGAGGAGAGAGCGAGGGCGCGTTACGGGGGAACGGGCCGCCGGAGGGGACACGCGGGAGGGCGGGCGGGCGGGCGCGCGC